AAACATCATCAAGAGAAGGCTCAAAACTACTGAGACCCAGGATCACAAGGCATGATGGACATAACACATAACTCTTCCCCTAAGATGAGGCATGCCTTCTGTATTTTTAAAATGTTATTTAAGGGAGTAATGTTTTTTCTGGCCTCTGTATTACTGTAAAGGAAAAAAAAAGAACTGCATACTGTATGTGTAATCCTTTGGAAGATGACAGCTTAGTCATCTCTTGAGAGTTTCTACAGTACATCATTCACATGAAAGTGATGTAGCTTCCAGGACCATAAAATATTCATCAAGATACTGAAAATACAACACATATTTTCATCATATTATTTACATTAAGTACATCACATTACTACACACATGGAGAGTACTAGCATAACTCTGGGGCCATCAAGAATGGCCACATCATGCAAACTTGTTCTTTCAAGTCGAAAAACTGTCTTGTTTTCAGAATCTGCCATTTTGTACTAAAACAAACAGAGCTCATGCAAAACTCCACTAGTGTTCCAGGCTTTAGTCAATGTGTGTTCCAAAGTACAGGGCAAGCTTTAAGCCTAGGATCGGTAACCTTCTGCATACTGTATGTGCCATTATTGGCATGCAAAGAAATGTTTGATAGCAAAATAAAAGTCTAATAAAACCACAAAGAAATTAAGTCTAAAAAATGATAAAAAACTATGCTTGCCTGTTGTAATTCTCTACAATATGCTACCTATAAAGATTCTTAGGCATAGAAAAAATGATTTACTTGGTTGTTACACAACATTATTTTTTGCAGTGCTATAATATATGTTATTGTTTTAACAGGAAAGCTCGTGGTCTGTGCCACAACCACACCTAAGTGTAAAGTCAAACATTTTGGACAAAACGGTGATTGCTAAGAATCAAAATTTAGATGTTCACTCATTTCAGCCCTTTTAGATAGATGAATATGGATACTGAACATAAAAGCCATGCTGTTTGTGCTCCGTGTTGTGAGAGCAGTATTTGCCACACGACAAACACTTCAAGGATGACATGACATGACAGGCATGACAATCACAGACAAGGCTGAGTCTTTGAAAATTACCTGTGTCTGCAAGATCAATAGAGAGACAAATAAGTGAAATGGCTGAAAACGTTAACAAACAACGGACATCGGCATTAAAAGAAGTAAAAGCATTTAGTGTTGCGCTTGATGAGTGTGTGATATAAACGATGTAACACGATGTGACTCAGATGGAATTTGAGAAGAGCTGTGCTGCCTTAAACCCATGCATGTCACAATTACAGGGGAAGATACAGCTACAGTAAGTTTTATTAATCATTTAGAGGAAAGAGAAATAATATCAAGAAAATATTTTTTGAAAGGAATGTAGGTTATATTTTCATTGTATTATTCATTAGTAAAATCATTGTGTCACGATTTTAAATTATGAAATTAATAATGTGTTGACTACAGTGGTGAGGATAGTGAATATTCCTGTTTCTAAATCTGCTTGAAGCTTAAGCAGTTTGTGAATGTGCTTCAGGAGATGGACTGTGGACTGCTTTTCACACGTAAAAAAAATATAAATGTCATGAAAATCCATAACAACAGTGCTAACTCTTGGCATCCTTCTGAAAGGTTGCCGTCCCCTGTTATAAGCAATCAGCGTATAATCGCCTTCTATTCTGGCCTGCTTTCTTATCCAGAAGACTTTTTGAAGAGGAAAGACAAGATCCCAGCCCTAAAATGCCATTTTTCTCAGAGCAGAAGTAAAGTATGAATACTCGTCGATGACATTTACAAAAAGACTCTACTGAAAAATATTCTAAATGAATCATTGTTCTGAGATGATCTGACTTTATTTGTAGAAAACATGCTATCAGCACTGCTACCTTTCTACTTTTATAATTATTCTAACACTCTTACTGTAGCTACTACAACTAGCAGCATTAAGAAACTATTGACAATGGATTAAGTCACAGGATGCTTCTGGTTCTGCAATATAACCTGGGAACTGGACAGCTTAAACCCACAGCACATGCTGCTGCCAATTACACAGATGGCTGCGCAGCATGAGATCCACCTTAGGACCATAACCATGATTCTTTGGTCAAGCGTCCTGAAAGACCTCACCAACTCCCCGTGCAGCTATACTTTTAAGCATGTTTGTTTATTCCTTTCCCTCCATTTCAGAAACTTCTGCTGTCTAGTTCTGATTTCATCTGGGGCTTTTGATGAAGCAGAAAAGTAGTGCAGGAAGAGACAAAAACCCAGTGCTAGGATATCTGGGTTCCAATCTGGAAGCACTGTTAAAGGTGACCTATTCGTTTCTATGGACTCTATATCACTGTCAAAATGGTTATACATTAAAGCCCTGACCTACTTTTTTTTATAAGCAAGTTTTGCTTAATAAACAAGGCTTGCCCCTGTCAGAGTGACCAGCAGTAAGACTAAGGCACATTGGGGATGGTACCTTCCACAGCACATTGGCAAGAAGAAAGATTAAACTGCATGGTAACTTAACTGAGCACTGAACCAAGAGCAGCCACAGGCTGGCAGTGCATGTGAAACCACAGTCATCTGGGAGGGCAGCACCTCACCCCCTCAGGCTGCTTTGACCTGTCCTGCCACAGAAGCGTTACAGCAGGGGCACGGGATAGGCTGTTACCAGCTACCTGATAGCAGGAATGGGAAAAGGGAAATTTAATAATAGTCAATTGACAAGTGCGAGGGAAAAAGGCAAAGGAACTGAGCAGGAGAATGGCTTACAGAAAAGTGACAGTGAGTGACAGAGTTTAGAATGAACCTTGCATCTGGCTGTAGCTTTAGCCTTCAGATGTCTCCTCACTGTTACAGTTTTTCACAGCCTTCCTTATTGAAGATGGAGAAAAAACGTTACACAAATTGTATACTGCATAGTTTCGCAGATATTGTGTTTGAGAAAGGGCTATTGATCTTACATAGGGCTGACTGTCAGAATTATTGGTTTCAAAAGTTTTAAAATGTTTTAGTATTGTTGTACTTTCTTTCCCAGTAGTTTTTCTGTTGGCACTATCTGACCTCTCACAAAGCTTGCAATACTATGTTTCTCTCTCCTCCAGATCAGGCTGTCTGCTTTCAGCTGATACTACAGGGTTTAAATTCAGCCCAGGTTCCCTGTTCAGGCCCGCTGGAGCAGCAGTTGCTTAATTGCTCCATTCTGCCCAGGAAAATAGATTAGGGATGCTGCTGTGAGGATGCCACAATGATTTTTAGCACCTTCACAGGCAGAAATTAGGGAAAACATCCACTTAAAGGTCACAAGAGTGTAATCTGGTATTTAAAACTGCCACGTGTTTAAAGTGAGGATGACTGACAACCTTATTTCATGGCCTATTTCTCTTGATACACCACATTTGCAAAGGATTATAGGACACATAGGTCACATTCATGAGGTGCTCAATGCAAGCGATGAAATTTTATTTGATCAGAAAATATGAATAATTTATGTCAATACTAAACAAACATTCATTCATATTGTCTGATTTAATTGAATTTCATGTAATTCATAAACTCAATTGGTAAAGTAAACTTCACTCCTCATGATACATAAACTACATATAGTACATATGTAATTTAATATCTAGAAAAATAAAAACATAATAATATTTTTAGGAATGTTACAAACAAGCAAACTTACTTGCAGCAACAAAGTCATACTGTATAACATAATTCGGAACAACTAATAGGTTTATTCCATGCTGAAAAGAGAGAAAGAAAATACAACGTTTCGGCCATGGAGCCTTCTTCAGGTGTCATATACAGTATAATTCTACTTTTTTGCTAGCTATTGTCCAACAAAAATGCAGGGATACAAAACATTATGAAACTTTGGTCAAGAGCACAACCAAAGATACTGTTTCAAAAGTATATCCTCATTTCTTTATATACATTTTCTTTAAAATGTATATCCTCATTTCTGACCTTATAGTCAGATCATAACCATGACTTCCACCCCACCCCTACAGTCCTCTACTGATTTGATACCAAAGCAGCATGAGACTAACTACTCCAAAATCAGGCTGGGTGAGCTGTCAGCCTGCCAGCACTTTCAAGGCAAATCCCACTGGGAGGTCCTGTAGTTTCATTTCTCATGAACCAAAAGATGTTTTGGAGAGTGACTATCTGTTCTGAAATGGAAATCTAATAAGTAAATTAATTCTTAAAATGTAGAGAGTTTTAGGAAAATATATAACAAGGATGTAACTGCTGTGCTACGTGCAGATTTTTAGAAGACAGTGTGTTAACAAAGTACGCACTGTCTAGGTTACTTTTAGAAGACAGTGTATCAACACAGTATGTACTGTCTGGGTTATTAGATTAGCCAAAGGTAACTGATAAGCTTTGAAAAAAAATATATTGGTGCTTCTTCTTTCGTTTTTATGATGTAATCTGTTTTGTCCTAAGGAATGGAAAATTACTGCTTTGCCTGTCCTTGAAGTGTTGCATCAGCTTAAAAAAAATATAAAACAAGGGTTCTCCCTGCTTGCTTTTGAATCAGCTTTCACTTCTCTGCACAGATGGGGTGATGGCTTTTTCCCATATTGCAATATGAATAAAGACCTTACTGAGTGAATGAGAATACCTCTCCTGGATCTTCTTTGATAAAATTCCAGGAAAGTTCTCAACAATGCAACACAGCATCCACAACTGTAAAAGTGTTAACTTCAAAAGGCTACTCTGCAAACAGCTGACAGATCATTTTTAATAACTGAAAATACTGAGAATATAAGAGATCAGTGGCTTTACTGATGATAAAAACACCACAAGTGCAACTGTAGATGGTTCTTTAAATTACATAATTTCAGAAACCCTTTTGTAGTAAATGATTTTTCAAGGTGTCTGAACTTTGTTGTTCAAGGATGTTCTTGTATGCACATTATTAATATTTTTCCAATATTTTCCAATAATATTCCAATATATTTTCCATGTTTTGGACTCAATGAAGCGATAACTGTATCAATAATTCCAAGGACATTTAAGAAAATCTCACCATCATGATTGGGGTTTCCTAAAGTCCACGGCTCATCCGAGTCAAAGTGAGTGTCTCCACCAATCCCGGGTCCTGGGAAGTATGCGTGTGCCAGAAACCCTCCCTCTCCATCAAACGGAGAGCTGTCACCGTGGAAACCAGATGCAAATATAATTGTAATGTCCACGTCCCTCTTTCCGTTCTCCAGAGTGTTGTAAGGGACGGCCTCGAACCTCAGCGGAGTGACATTCTGCCAGACGTCAAAGGCACGGCGGATGGCATCGTGAGTCTCTTCTGCGCCCACTTTGGGAGTGACGTTCTTTATGCTACACAGACAAAACATAGAAAAGGCAAAGCAAACACCACACAGTCAGGTAAATATTGTTCAACGCTGTAAGTAAAAAATGTCACTGCTGTATTTGCGTTTCAGGAGTACGCAAACCATAAGAGGAAGGTGAATGTCATTGTTTTGATGAAGGAAACATTTATAAAGTTAAGATACTGTTGGCAGGTGATTGAATGCTTAAAATATCGCAAATTTTTCCTTTTCATTTACCAAAATTGTTTTATAGATTAATACATTTTAGAATGAACAAAAAGGTGTTCACCATAGTATATCAATATAAGGGCTTCTCATCCAAGGATAGAAAAGATACAGGAATAATATCACACACTGGATATTAAAAAAACAGTAAATCCCTTTGTGAAACTTTCCAGCATTAATGTCCCTGTCATTGACACAAACATACAAATAGACAGGAATATCAACTTTTGGATCTGTCATGATACTTTAGTCTGTGAATCAGGTGGCTGCAGCATATTCTCCTGCCGCTGCCTTAAGGACTAAGATAAGGACCACAACAAGCCCTGCAAGCACTTCCTCGCAGTCCTCAAGAAAAGGAAGTGTGTCTCTTGTGGTTTCCCCAGCTACAGCATGTATCTTGTTTAATGAGCAGAATTTCCCTGGCATGGCTGTAAATTAAGCACGGTAGGATCTCAGAGGAAGCAAGATTTCTTCTGGGGAAATTTTATTTTGCAATTAGGATTATTAACAGTCGACTGCTTAGGAAGGATTTGGGTTGTGCTTGGTTGATTTTAAAGCCTGTTCACAGTGAAACAAGCAGCAAATGAGCTGCCACCTTATTCCACAGTTCCCTCAAACAGCACTTTTTGTTTTCAATTCAGACGTATTGGCAAACACCTCATGTATATTCTCAAACACTCAACTAACACATTTTAAAATACAGAAATTTAAAATAAGTCTAGGCAAAGAAATTAATGTTTTAAATATTGGTCTACTTCAATTTAATAACCAGACAGTGGAGCTTACTGTTCATTGCTGCACGGCTCCTTAAAATATTCTGCATATGCCAGTGACTGCACTTCTATTGAGGGATTTAAAGCATAGAAAACTGTTTCAAGCACTAATCTAATCTAAAAATGGTCTGTGGAAATGTCTTTTAAAAGTATGTGAATCAATGTCTTATTCATTCTCGTTCTGGTTCTCTGAATGACACTCAGTGCAATGAATTTAAAAATGTCTTAAAAAATAATCTCTAAACTGCAGAAAGAGTGAATTTGAAATGTTCAGAAACAGCTGAGAAAAACTAGTTTAGAATTAGGCACAGAGGTTCTTTCCTCCCTTTTCAAATCAGAGGATTTAAAATCAACAGTTGTGCCGTATACTATAAAAAGGATGAAACACATAACAAAGTTTCCTTCGAAAAACTCAATCCAAGCAGCTTTGCTGAACTTTAACATTTGGTTTTTATCTACCACCAGCAGCTTACAAGAAATGGAAATCTAGTTTTTAGCACACTCTTTAGTCAGCAATCCATCATTGATTGCCAGCCCTTCACTGATTTACATTTTATTTGAAAAGGTGAGCCTGTGATAGAATTAAAAGAGGCCAGAATTTGAATAACTTGTTAAATCCTTATCGTCTATTGCCACTGTCATCAATCAAAGCTGAATTAGACAGGACCCTTTCACTTCTTCTCTGAAAGTGTTAATGGGATTGAAAATGAATGTGTCACCTCTGCTCATGTACAGGTTTAATTCCTTCCCTTTATTTCCCTGGAGACATTAGCCATGGAGGCACTTTATTAATCTTTTGGCTATTTAGGATAACACTTAAGCTCCCTCGGCTTTACAACCTGCACGTCGTATAGCCACATTTTCATACTCAGACACAGGTACATTCAAAAATCATGAATCCAGGGGAAAAGGAAATTGGATATTTTATAATCAGCCAGCATCCTGTTGTAGTTCAAAGCTGCTGTTTCATAGAGATAAAGATGAGAAAGGCACCCTGACTCCTGATGTCTTTGTGAATGACATTCGAAATACACAAAGTGATGTCCAACTAAAGATTATGTTTTTCATCACTTTTGAGCTCTCATGGACAATATCAGCGTGCTTCTACAATACAATTGAGGAGCTCCTCATTTTACCCATTGGTTAGATAAATGTGTACAAGACAACCTAAAAGAAAGCTCTTAAATCCGATCTGCTCAGTTCCATAAGATAACAGATACAAAATAGTCATTAAGGGATGTCAGAATTTGATTATCTAGAACAATAAAAAAAAATGATATTCTTTTTCCATATTAAAACATTATTTATTTCTCTGTACTATATTATTTCTCTGTATTAAAATTGCTTCTTCTTTTCACTATATTTGAATGTGTCTAAAAAGAGTGTCTCTGAGATATTGATGATTGATGGATGGAGACATTTTTTTTTCACAGGCAACATCCGACTGTTGCCTGAAGTGCTTGCAATGGATGACCTCACTAAAAAGTTGGATATCCTGCAAATGAATCACAGCAGCTGGTTAATCTTCTAAAAGCAAGATATGTGTTAGAAAAAAATAATTAGATGTAAAATGACTATCCAAATATGAAAAATAAAATGTATTCTGGACTCTTCAGACCACATGCTCAAAGGCCAGTTTTAAACAAATAAAGTCAATCTTAGGAAAACAGTAGTTATTAATGTGCTATGTTAGTTGAGTTGTAATGAAGCTGTCATAAATAATTAATTGTTGACCACAGCTGTATAAAACCCACAGTTCAAAGGTGAAGCTCAGTCCTGGGAGTTGCAGAAGTCTGATAGGCAAAAAGGCTGCTTTGACACCCGGACGGAAGCAGACAGGATGACACCTGTACCTCCATTTGTTGCCAAACCTCTGGGACAATTACATTGAACAAGATCAATCATGTTCTGCCAAGTGCTATTGAGAACGGATTTTTTCTCTATTTCCATTTCATGAGGTAAGATAGAAAAGTAAAGTATACATTTGGCAATTTTACTGAAGAATTGGAGAGCACAGTATTCAGTCTAACTAAAAATACAAGTATTTATTGTTCATGGATTATAAATGACATACAGTATGCATTGTAACAAATCCAGTTCCTAAAATTTTCCTTTCCTGTGCGGCCTCTTATTGCTGATTCTAAACCCTATGCCATCCATACATTTTCTAACTGCTTCATTCAATCCAGGGTTCCGGGGAAACCAGAGCCCAACCTGACAACTAGCCCAAAGCAAAAAAACATCCAGGATGGGACACCAGTCCATCCAGGGCACACACTCATGGCAGGGCCAATTTTCCCAGAACCCAGTTAAGCTACCAGTATGTTTTTGGACTGTGTGAGGAAACTAGAGTATCTAAAGGAAACCAATACGAATCCAGAGAAAACAAACTCCAGGCAGGTCCAGGATTGAACCCCAGGCCCTGGAGATGCAAGGCAGCAATGTACCACTCTGCTGCCCTTCATTCTAACCCTCATCTATAATTTAAATTCACAGCCATTGCTGTCCCCTCACCTACAATACAATGCAAGAGATTATCCCTTACCTGTAAGTGATATACTTGTGTGGCCACTTCTGTCCTGTGAGAGCATACCGCCTTCTTCGCACATTGAACTTGGATGCTCCTCCTGGCTGGTCTGGCACACCACACCGAGGTTTCTTCATCCAGCTGTGAAGGTCAAATGCACTGATTTGAAGCCTGGCAGCTTTTTCTCCTGCCTTAGCACCACATGGCAGGAGGGAAGAACGCATTTCTTTTCTGCAGTGAGACTGTCTGCTGTTAGCTGGCTTTTCCCACTGCTGTTCAATCATTACATTTACTTATTACCAATCAGAACTCACACACAGAAATGGCAGCATTAGTAAAAATCTGAAAATGTAAGATTTTCTTTTTAGAGTCATGTGTAAAATAATTGTGAAATGGAAAAAATACCCTGATTTTCTGCAGAAAGTTATAAAACCCCACTTGAAACAACTGTCCGATCCTCTGTTGCGTTTTTACAATATCCGGTTACAGATTTGCACTGTCACATGGCATCTGAAAGCTTTTATTTATGTCATACGATTTTTATTACATTTATGTCAAAAATTTGTTAATGACAGCTTCCCTTATCCTAGACATAGGCAGCCAAGATGCAATAGTTAAGTGACACTTAATATACAGGGGACCAGCGTCATCCAATATATTGGTCTGCAGCTGGAGTCTAACAAGGGCTATAACCATCATTATAACTTATCCTGGATCCTGGATACCTGTATGTCATGGTATTATTATTGTATACAAGTTTAAATTTGATCTTTAGATGGAATTGATGATAAATGTTTGCTAAAACGTTGCTTTCCAGTTATAGCACTATACCAGGGGGTATTCAGCCCAATTATACTAAGGATAATCAGATCATCATCTCTGGTCATAGCACACAATTTACAGAATATTACAAAAATAAAACACACAATAAAAGATAATGTCTCACCTCAAGGTGATATCACTACATCATATTACAGAAGCAAAAGGAAAAAAAAACAAAACAAGAATTAAAATAGTTAAGAAAAGGGGGTATCAACTAGATTTATTTCATATGCAGTGTACAGTGTAGATAAGCCCAGCCTCACTCCCCATTTTCAGCCTAGCTCTCTATAGTAATTAAAAGGAGAGTGAGGGGGATTAACAGTAATTGGATAGTCTCTGCTAAAACCTGCTATTTTAAAAATATATTGAACTACTCTACATTTTAAATGCAAAATATTTCCCCCAGGATTCATTTTGCAATACAAAATGACAATCAAAATCAACTGAAAGTGAAATTCAGGATGCACACAAAGGCTGTTTGGGTGATTCGCACTACCATTCTGACCAGAAACAAGGGTCATTACTGTGCAGCTGACCAAGGGCTTCTACCTATCACACAATGCCCTGTCCAGTTCTCTACTGCTATTACTGTGGATTTAGGAACACAACTAACTAATGCCACAGTACAGATCTGTACAGGTACATGTGAATGGCCACATGAAGAACCCCCTCAGTACTGTGGTCACATGAACCCCGGACAACCCTGCAAGATGGTCAACTGTCAATATTCAACATTCTGCATTTACTATATAAATTGTCCATTCTAATTCACGAACACAATTATTTTCTAGTGCTATATCATACAGTATATATATATATCAGATCTCACTCAGGCCAATGTCTCATGTTGTCCATGTTAACTGGGATACATTCTAACAAATAAAATAGAGCTTATTAAGTAGAACTAGTTAAGAATACTTCATAATTGTATTACAAAACAGGCTATTTACAGTACACTATATCACATATATTTATAAAGAACTGATACTGTATATGAGTACAATCAGAGTCTTATTATGAAGCCTGTGGCTAACTGTTAGTAGTGCACTCCGGGGTTTTCTGGTATTTTCTGAATATTCTCTTAATGCTTTGCAGCTTCCAACCTGTATTTTAGTTTTTTAATTTCTAACTAGAATTTTCCTTGTCATTGATTTCTCTTCCTCCATGACTGACGTTGTTATTATTTATACTGAAGACTAACATCTGTTATGTAATATTGCATGTACATATAACACAATATAGCTTTATATTATATTTATCAAGACTTAATAAGACCTAAATTACACACAGAACTCTCTGTACCACTGGCAGATCTCTTGTAGAGAACAGTCAGCTCATGCCGTGTGTATATTGTCGTACACAACTCTGTGGGGGTTCAGTATTTCCAGATTATGGCAATCGCTTTTCTGGCATCTGTCTTGTACAGTAACGATGTCATGCACCAATGAATACATGTCTTCAAGTGTGCAGTGCATGAGATCATGCAAACACTAATGACCTGCAGGCAGGCAATTAAGAAAACCTCCTGCTATGCATGCAGACGTGTAATGAAGCATGAACAGCTGGGATGGCTACTTACTCTATTGTGTTTTGGTCCAGTGTCCCCGTGACGTTGAGGCCGTAAAGACGCTGCATGGCAGCGATAGCAGACTGCATGGTCTGTGCTGAGCGCAAGACAGACATTCGGGGGTCAGTAGGGGGGAGATAGCCATATCTCTGTAACCAGGCCTGCAAAGACATGAGAAACACAGGGGCTGGGGTTTTACACTTTGAACAAAACCACTTTTTTCATATCAGAATATATTAGGTGATTTCACTGGAGAAATTCTCTTTTGTAATGCAAATCTTTTTTAATCACCCACTAGTTAAGAGAAGACTTATTAAATCTAATTTCAAGCTGATAATCTTGTTTCTTTCATGTGATCTTTTTTCAAACATCTGTAGACAGAAAAATAGCCGCAGCTTCTAGGTAACTCCCTTTAACTGCGTCCTGTTAAATGCCTTTATATACTGTAGGTTTTAAATAGGTCTAAAAAGGCAAATAAAAAGACTCTAAAGAGTTAAAGTTACATTATGTGTGGATTATTGAAAAACCTGAAAAAATACTTTGAGTCAGAATGTAAGTTTAAAATAAATTATTGCAGAGATGTCCAGTGGTATCCCATCTCCTACTGGTGGCATGTAATAGGCTTCACTCCTATTTTTATGAAGAGCCTTCTTTATGAATAGCCATGGCCTATTAGATGTTTTCCAGTTGAGGTCTCAATACAACATTGATATTTACATATTAATGTATTAATTACTTCAATTAAGGAGCTTTGCTTGAATGAAAATGGAAAAGTCTTCTAGCAATCTTAACACCAAGGCTAAGGATTATTTTAAAGTATGATACAATTTCTTAAGAAAAAACACAAGAATGTATTGTTTTTTTAAATCGACCTTCATCTTTCAAATGTATCAATCTGTCAAGTACAAATGAAACAATTCAGATATTAGTGTCTTTAGCCTCTACATTTCTCTACATTTCTTCAGTTAATATGATTAAACACACTCAATCAAATGTTTTCAAATCACAAATCTGTACGATTCAATAGTATAGCACTGGTAGGAACACACAAATGTACATGAAGTAAAGTGACTATGTGAATTTCATTTCATTCCTTTTTGCCTATTTTATGCCTTTAGTCAAAAGCGAAGTACAGTATAAGTATAAACCTGCAAATTGACAGACACACAGGACAGGACTGTGTACAGTAAGTTAACATGATTGTTCTTATTTCACATCTGATTTGGGAATATTCTTAAATTAAAAAAGAAAAAAAAAACATAGAATTAAGCCAAAGCAGAGACTAAAAATAAATATTCCCTCTACTGTCTCCACACATATACTCTCTGAACAGACATGCACCACAACAACACATACTGTATGCCCATACAGTACCTCAAACAGTACCTGGTGTGAATACCAGCATTGACCCTTCAGTGCTCTGGTTACTCTGATAACCTTGCAAAGTGGTCAATGACAGTTTTGCATTTATTAGTTCCCCTTATCCAGTCATCATTAAGTCATTTTTTTCCTGGTGCTATGAGAGCTCAGATAGCTCACATTGTGATCACTTGTAATATGTCACTTTGTGAGAAAAGCTAGTCATCATGATAAACAAAACAGAGTATTTTAAGTAAAGCATTAGGGGTTGCAAATAATATTCTATAAATGAGAAGCAGGCTACTTATATTCTATTACATGTTTAAACTACTCAAGTGGAATATGTTGTTTATTGTATAGCTAATCACTGTAGCTAATCATTGATACTGAGTTCAGTTTTTAATTCAGAATCTTCATTCATTTGTATACTTGACTAATGATTTCCAGACACACACATTTTACCGTAAACAATTGCATTTATAGTTATTCCTATTGATTTTTAATGTACTTAAATGATCAACCTTTGCATTATTAAAAATCTCATTCTTCGCATTTATTGTTAAAGCTAGGTGTTACAGAAATAATTTTTCCCAGCTGGGTTTCTCAGTTTCAGAAAATAATTCCTTGTGTCTAAGGGTGATTGTGATTGACCACAGCCCAGATGGGAGATTCTACTTCAGCCACCAAAGTAAGTTAGTGCTCTAAACACCCACACAATGTGTTAAGAAAACAAGCTAAAGACACCCATGGAGTTGTTATATCTGTAGAGAACATAAAATATGTTAAACAGAATCTTGTCCCATCATGCTTAAGTTTTATAATATGTTGTATGCAGTATGCTACCTTTCTTCATACTGTATGTATATTATAAGCATGCATCAATATGATCAAGGTTCCTGAAAAGAAGTTAAATATATCACACATATCTCAATTTGAGCCTAGGCTTCTAGGAGCCAGGTAAGAATCTGCAAGCCTTACAGATCAAACAATACTGAGCATAAAAAGAAACTTATAAAGTACATTTAATTATTCATGTTATGTTTTGGATATTGATTAAATGTTTTTGGCATCATTTTGATTAATTAATCATTCGTGACTGACTCTAATCCTCTCAAGTCAGTTTGCTAAAATAAAAAAAATTCCCATTAGTGAGAGTTTATTGGACGTGTTGAATGTCAAGCCTGGTGATACTGAATGTCAAGCCTGGTTAAAATAAAAAAAGAACACAAAAAACTATCCACTCAGAATCAGCACAACGCCTTTTTCACCTCATTTTCAGTGAGGTTACAGTAAGTGTTGACCACCCTAATGGACATCAGTGAATCTGAAGTATTAATGTAAGAACAACATACTAATTGGTATGTACAACAGAGCAAAAAGTGTGGAGGTTCACATGTGATGGTCTGCGCATGTACCTCTTCATGCTACAGAACTTGTAATGACTGACAGCATCCTATCTGCATGGTGCTGCACTAAAACCAATTCCTGGGACCTCACTTGCTTCCCCTGATGGAGACTCATACTACTAGCCTGTGACTTTCTCAGTAGACCACAGATGACAAATACTAATATTAAATATTTAATATAGTGAAGAATGTTCATCAGTTCAATGAATTTACCTTTATCATGTTTGTTCAAATATAATGTTAGTCCTACTACTTTTTAATATTTCGTAACAATAGGTTTGCGAATTTGTTGCTGTTATAGGCAATACGTTTCTTTTGACCCTCAGGATATTTTAAACATTCAGTTTAAAGTTAGTAAAAAACTAGTATCACATTAATTTCAAAACTACATCCTTTCAAATGGAAAAGATTCACAGTTTTTGACTGCCCTGATTTAGGAAAGATGAAGCTTTTAGTGTTGCCTCCAGGACTATTTTGGTATGAAATATTGCCAAAAGTTCATATTTGAACCCACATAAAATTAATTGACATTGATTTTAAAGATATATTAGAAGGAGAAACAAAAGTTGTGATTTTACCTAGTCATCACAGACAAATATAGATAGGAAAGAGCGTCAGTTAATGTGTTATCATCTGTCAGGGAACCTTTACATTTTAAGTTTTGTCAGGAAGGTTTCTAACCTTGGTAGTTGTAATGCAAAATTAGACCAGATGACCCCCCTTCATATTTTTCTTCTTCGTGTCTTCTTAAGTCTGCCAGAAAAGCTTAAATGTTAAGAAAAGCTCAAGCAGCAGTTATAAAGCAGCTATAACTCTATAAAAATATCACTCACCTGAAAGAAAAAATATTTTTTTGTGTTTCTTTTACAGCTTACATTCTGCTTAACATCCATAGTTCTATCTGGGGATACTATTGGGCTCTGACAATGTTGAAGCCAGGGCAGTCATAACATCTGTATAGTGATGAAATGAAACAGAAATTTTAGTAACAACAGATCTGAAATCCCTTTTGCAGGGTAGTGCGCTTCAGTAGCACAAAGGATGTCACAATTCCTTCTTGAACACTTAGCTCAGTTTGATTTTATTTGAACTTGTGACCAAATGTTAGCCCATTTTCATTAATAACTGCCATTACTTTAATTACTATTACTTTAATCACTGCTTTATAATTTCCAGGACACATAGATCTATTTTGCAATGAAACAATTTATCTATAAGCCCGGAATTATAACTCACTAGGGAACTTGTAAGATCAGCCTTTCTCATCACTTCCACATTCAAAGCTGAATGAAGAAAAATGTGTCTTGCTGCCGTATTACAATTCAACCACTTTTCACCCCCAGTCCTTGACAAACACTGCTGTTCTGTTTGATTGGACCTTCAATTCCCATTGTTGAATGACAAGGGAGCTTTTATTGTATCAAAACCCTGGATGTGTTACGTTGCTGTCAACACATTTCGATTAGTATCTGGAGGACAAAATAAAGAAGCGATTATTGTGAAAAATGTATAGCAGGAATAAATATACCACTGGATACTGGGATTAGAAGTAATGCTTTGTAGCTCTTAGCCAAAGAATTACAGTAGTCTTGCAATGAATTCCTGTCACAGTATTGCAAAAACCACTGCATCTGCAGAACGCAATTTAATTTATAAGAATATCTAAACATTTTCAGCAAAATAACATTTATCAAAATGGCATTACGCACATCTGTAAATTGTGTAAAATTATATTTTTCTAAATATTTTCTGAAGCTTTCTGTAATGATCATCAAATTACTTTTATATGTGGTTCTACAGTATTTAATGTTTTTCTATGCTTTCTTTTTTGTTTTTGTCTTTTAATTACATGGGCTGTCATAAAGGTATTCATACTATAAGCTGTAGAACTCCTGTTTTATTTATTCCTATTTTTTATTTATTAGAAAAAATACATCAGTGATTTAGAAAAAAAGCATATTTTCCAGAAGTATAATGTATGTAAATTGTGTTATTAAATAGCTAATGCTAGTATGTGAATGTGAATTAGCCAAATTTATAAAACTAGACAAAGGTTGGTTCCTAGTCCCAATATCTTGCTGCAAGCTAATCAACACCCTTCAAAGCCCGTGTAAGAGACTATACCTGCCGTGACAGTGTTCAAGCTGTGCAAAATACAGTATTTTTTATGCAAACTCAGATGTCAAACAACACAAAAATGAATATACACAGACAAACAATTAACAGCAAATTGAGAAGTTTTTGTAGAAAGCTATATTGTCAGCTTGACATGATTTTCCACAAAACTAAACTGTTACACATTTGTTTTATCAAGATGTTGTCTCTAAGGCTTTGGGTCTGACACCCTCTAGACATCTGACAAACTTGTAATAAAAGCTCATTTTTGCATAAACTTA